TCCATCAGTTTTTTTTTAATTTCTAAGAATCTTATGTTTACTATGATGCTTTTTTTCAAATTTGTATTTGTATTTGCACTGCAAACACAAATAATTTTATCCCCAGTGTAGGACTTTTAAACTGAATTTATAATAGCATGTATACTAATATTAGATATTTCACCCTTGCCAGAAAGAACTTTCATAACTTTGGTCAATGCTTTTCAGCCAAAGACCAAGTTAGGGTTATTCCTTGTTTCAGAGAGGGAGAACACACACCATGGTGGAATCATGGCATGTCTCAGTAAGAGGGTATTAGAAAGAACACATTATAGGATTTGAGATTTAGTTGGGTGATTTGGGGGAGGGTCTGAGGAAGCAGGGGTTAGTCCTAGACTGGATGCTGTCAGAAAGCAGGGGTGATTCTATGATTGGGTATTTTGTGGATGGCACAGTGGCCTTGTTTTTTTCTGTACTTAGACAAAATAAAGAAGTTGCCTTGTTTTGTTTCATTTTGTTGTGGTCTCAGGGTGACTTTATCTGAGGTTGTATCTTATGGGATTGTTTATGTCCAACAGGAAAACAAAATGGCCTGGCTGTGAGTATCAGACCAGCTAGTTATAATATTGAGGTCTAGCTGTGAACAGTTTTGGACATTAGGGGCTGGTGTTTTCCTTTCTCACTTTGATTCCATGATTTGGATGGAAGGAATCAAACCATTATTGGAATTCACTTAACTCTTTTTCTTGTTTAAAGCATCCGGAATCATTTAACTGTTTGTGAAGTTCTTATGGAGCTAACATAGGAACAGCTGTTGTTTCACTTTTCTAATGTACCTGAGAAAAATTGGAATAAAACTGTTGAAATTATGTTAGAGCAGTTATTTGATAAAAGAAAAGTCATGCATCATAGAATTATATGTAAATGTACTGTTTGTAGCTTCCCCTTGTTAACTTGTGGTCTTTGGGCACTGTTTATTAAAATATCTACTGAGTTATAAAGTAAATGCTTCAGTAAATTTGGGCCCTCTGGTTTTCTTGTGGTTAGTGAGATCACTATGACCCCCATGGTGGAGAGTGAATGTTGACAGACTAAGTGTTGTTTTAGTCTACTCGGGCTGCCATAATGAAATACCATAGAATGGGTAGCTTAAACAACAGAAATTTATTTTCTCACTATTCTGAAGGCTAAGATGTCCAAGATAGAGGTTTCAGCCAATTTGGTTTCTGATGAGAGCTCTCTTCCTGGCTTGTAGATAGCTGCCTTCTCACCAAGTCCCCACATGACCTTTCCTTGGTGTGTACACAGGGGAGAGAGAGAACACAAGCTCTCAGTGTCTCTTCTTATAAGGACACTAATCCTATTGGGTTAGGGCCCCATCCTTATGACCTCGTTTAATCTTAATTACTTCCTTAGAGGCTCCATCTCCAAATACAGCCACACTGGAGGTCAGAGCTCCAACATATGAATTTTGAGGGGACACAAACATTCAGTCCATAACACAGATGAATTGCACAAGTCATGTGTTCATCAACTTTCTTGGAAAATCAATTCATTACTCATTTTCCCTAAGCACGCATTTGTTTTTTAGCTCATTGCTGCCAAAAGGGTTTATTGAAAACTAAAAAAGAGTTATCAATTTATTAAACAAATAAGTAGTTATAGATTTATACAATAGCAAGAGCATTAGGACTAATCTCTACACTTTATGACAGGACATCTGAACTGATTTTTCCCACAGATGTTTCATGTAAACCTAACCGAGTGTATCTCACGTTTCCTGGTGATCCTGCCAACCTGATGGCCTGGTGGAATCTTGGCATTTTTGGTGTGGCATGGGCCACAGCATAACCAACTCTTCTACCTAGTGGTTGGCTGTGCCAGCAGCATCTGTTACCTCTCCTATCACCACCTGAGACTGGTTGGAGTTAACTATCCCCAGCCACTCATGTCCAAGGACACTTTCCATGTGGTCCTTGGAAGGGGAGAGTTATCATGTGTCTGGAAAGAGTTTGGAAAAGAGAGGCAGAGTATTGCTTATTATCAGATTTTACCATGTTAGTGAGAACTCTGTTAACTGCAACTGGAATTATGAAGTCAAAGCTTACCATCCTTGCTTAAGGTTTTGTCTTTTTATTAACGAAGAGTTTAAACATACAGCAAATCTGAAAGAATTTTACAGTGAACAGCCATACTACCACCTGGAGTCTACCATTAACGTTTTGTTATATTTGTTTTATCACATATCTATCCCCATGTATTCATCATCCCACACATTCATCAGTGTATTTCATATTTTTTGACATATTTGAAAGTAAAATGCAAACATTTATATAGCATCTCCTGGGTACTTCAACATGTATATCAATAACTCAAGTTCAATATTTGTTTATAGTTTTTTTCTGAGTTTCTTTGGTTTTAACAAACACATGTACCTAAACATTACCCTCATGCCTTTCCCAAGTCAATGCCTGTCCCCACCCCCCGGGCAAACACTTTTCTGTTTTTTTTTCTCACCATAGATTTAATTTGCCTTTCTAGAATTTTATATAATAGAATCAGACATACATCCTCTTTTTTTACTCAGGAGAATATTTTTAGATTCATCTCTTGTTGCATGTGTCTGTAGTTCATTCCATTATGTTGAATATATCACAGTTTTTCCATTTTCCTATTGAACGTCATGTTGGCTGTTATCAGCTTTTGGCTATTATGAATAAAACTGCTAAAAAACATTTTTGTACAAGTGTTTTTGTGAACCTATGATTTTGTTTGTCATGACTAAATGCTTGGGACTAGGACTGAAACCGCTGAGTCATAGTTTAAGGAAAAAAAATCTAGGGAGCCATGGGTTGAAATTTTAGATAGAGTATTCAGGGAAGGTTTTACTTAAAAAGTAAAGTTTCAATAAAGACCTGAAAGGGGAGAGTGAGGAGGTGAGCCACACAGGGAGTTACGGGTCATTGTAAGGATTTGGCTTTTTGTGGGGAGTTTATTATGTTTTAAGATGTTCACCCTGCTATCATGTTGAGAACAGACTATATGCAACAAGGATGGAACTGGGAAGATAAGTTAGAAATCTGTTGTAATAGTCCTGGTGAGTAGTAGTGGAGACTTGGCTAAGGTTAGTAGAAGTGAAGGCTGTAAGGATTGATTTATTTCTAGAAATATTTTGAAGGTAGAAGTGAAAGTATCGGCTGATGGATTGGACATTTGGTGTGAAGGAAAGAGGAGTCAAGGATTACTCCTAAGTTTTTGTTTGGGCAATTGTAAGTGTAGAGTTTCCATTTTTGAGATGTGGAAAGCCCGAGGAGCAAAATTGGGTACATGAGAAGAATAGCAAGAGCTCAGCTTTAGACATAATAATTTGAATAAGCACTTGGATATGGAAATCTTAAGTTGATTAGAGCTGCAGCTATGTACATTTTGGAGTTATCAGCCTATGGATATTATATAAAGCCACACAAAAGAAATGTGTATAGAAAAGAGAGAGAAAGAGAGCGGAGTAAGAAAAAGACCATGAAGGAACTAGGAAATGCTGAGTCATTGGGTACAGAAATGTTTAACATTAGTAGATATTACCAGCTTTCTGAAGTGGTTGTACCAATTTTCACTTCCAGTAGCAGTATTTGAGAATTCCATTTGCTTCAAATCCTCATTGGTACCTTTGTATCCTGTGACTTGCTTTTAACTTATTGTGAAAATCTGTAAATATTTGTTTATAACTTTAAAATATAAGATATATAGAGTTCATAATCTATCCAAAACACCTGAGAAAATTGGTTCTTTCTGTAGCAATATGTCCTACTGCTACTGCTGCCACTAATAGTTTTACTGGACCAAACGTGGGCACCTTCTTGGTGAGTTAAACCAAACTGCACCGGAAATACTTGTCTCACAAAGCAGAAATTTTATTTGCAGCATGTGGCAAAGAAAATGGAGACTATAGGGAATAATTTCACAAAGCTATGGCTCCTCGAGCACGGGGAGGTGGGTACCTTTATTTGGGGTAGGAAATGAATATTCAAAGGGGAAGTTTCATCATCACAGTAGAAGTGGGCATAAGCTTGTACATGCGTAGTTTGAAATCATGATTTTACATACATCACATGACCTAAAAATGGCTTCTTTGCCCCTCCCAGGGGAGGAGAATTTACAATGTTAATGAGGGCAGGTTACGTTAGTACAACTTTCTGCCTATCTGTGCAGGTGTCAGTCTTATGATTGCGGTCTTGGCCAGTCTGGTCCAGTTCAGAGTGGCTGGGTCCAGGGCAGTTGATACTCAGAGCTTCTTCCTGGAACATAGCTGAAACTGCATAAGCTCAAGACTCCAAAGTTGTTAGAGAAAGGAACATCTTCAAGAAGACAAGAGAATTAGGTCAAACACAAAAGGTTAGAGTTTAAGTAAGACAAGAGAAGCAGGTTAGAGCCCATGGCTGGTGACAATAGCAATCAACATTTATTTGGTACTGATTATGTGCCAGGCACTATTCTGTGAGTTCTGTGTATATTGATTAATTGTCCCTTCAACTCTCTGTGGTAAGTACTACTATTATGCTTCTCATTTCATAGATGAAGAAAGCGAGGCACAGAGAGGTTAAGTGACTTGACCTAGGTTGTGAATTGAGTAAGTGGAAGCATCAAGGTTTGAACCCAGGCAGCCAGATTCATACTTGTGCTTTTACTTACATACTTTCTTGCCTCTCCAGAAGGAGTTGTGAATGTGAATAATGGTTTAATAAATCCAGTGTACTCTCAAAAAGATTGCCCAGTGATGCACAGTTGATGCTTTTCCCCAATTGACTTTGTTAAATCAGTAGAGAGAATCAATGCCTCAAGGATTATAAACTTCCTTTCTGATGGGAAGACTTACAGATTACCTGTTTTAAAATGTTCAGAATGTACCTTTGATGTAATAGAAACTATTTTAAGATATTACAACGTCAGAGTAACCTGTGAAATTTAATATTACCAAAAATAAGAGATAATTCCAACTCAATTTCTCTCCATGGCTGTTTTAGATTTTGAGCCTTATCAGGGTGACCGAGTAGAAGTTGAGTTTTCCATCCAGCCAGACACACAGAGCAGAAAGGCCGTCTCAGTGAAGCCTCTGCGACATAAGCATGTGCATGAGGTAGTTTTGCATGTTACTCTTGTTATTCGTTTCTGCTTATCCTTCCTGTAGTGATACATTTTGCTGCTCAGGATTCTACTGAGTGTGTTAGGAAACCTAAAAGAAAATATATTCTTTGCCAAAGAGGAGTCTATTTTCTTTTTGAAAAAGCTGTGCTTCTGAAAGGAAATAATTAGAGAATAATATAGAGCACACGTATAATTAAGATCTAAATTATGGAGTTTATTTAGAAGTATTAAAATTTTCTGAGAGCAGTAAGAACAGAAAAGAAATTGTGTTCAGGGAATTGTTGGGAAAAATGAATGGAGTGGGTGGCGAGATGAGAGCTTACAGTAAATGCTGGGTGTGATTGGGCAGTGGAGACTGACAGTGAGTGGGAAATTCAGTTTGCACAAAGAGACAGCTGTGGCTTGGAATGTGATAGAGGAAGTGGGGAAAAATGATGTTCTATTTGCCACCACATTCCTTTCTCACTCAACCCCTTTCACCCTTTCAACTGTAACTATAGAGGTTAGTGGACACTGTGTGTTCTATTCAGAGCAGAGTTTCCAATCCTAGACTTGGGCCCCAACAGCAGAGATTCTGACTTAATTGGTGTGAGGTGGGGTCTGGGCACGGGTAGTTTTACAAAGCACTCCTGGTGTTTCAAATACGCCAGCCGGGTTGGGAATCGAAGGTTTGGAGTGACCTACAGTTTAGAGCCAGAGTGAGGAAGGGCAGGCTCAGCTAGAGTGTACGGTGCTTTTACATCAACGTTCCCATTATTTGTAATTACAGGTCTGCATTACTAGCCTACACGGAAGAAATGGGGTGATAGATGAGAGTATCTTTTTCACCTTGGATTCTCTGAAACTTCCTGATGGATACGTACCTCGAATAGCTGACGTCGTTAATGCAGTCGCAGTCGAGAGCATTCAGTCCTGCTATATTTGGAGAGCAATTTCTATGACTCTAGTGAAAAGGTGGTAACAAGAAAACAATGTTTTTATTCCCTGTTCAGCTTTTCTTCTCTTGGCAGTGAAGGACCTGGTTTAAATGTGTTTTGAAAAGAAAAAGTAGGTTAGTAAACCTCAACAATTAATTAAGATACACCTTTCAAATCCTGTGTGGGTTGGCTAAATAGAGTTATCTTCTGGAGAGTGTTCAGCATTTTTCATTATTGATTAAAGACATTTTCATCTTAATCCCTTGTAATAATCTTATTTTCATGATTTTCTCTTTTTAGTGGAGTTATTTATTTTTAATTTCATCTACATTCTCTGTTTTCTTTCACCTTTAGGACAGAGTTTGTAGTACGAGAAAACTTTTTCTAGAATGCATTGTGCATCATAGATTTTTTTTTTAATATTCTGAGTTTGCATTACAGGTCCAGTAGGACCACCCTACCATCTAGTGGTTAGTTTCCCACTTTATGGGTCAGGTTTCAATGTCCTCTAGATTTTACGTATTCACTCATTGGTTCACTTAAAAAATAGTGATTGCTTTTTACGTGCCAGGTGCTGGGGTTATAGCCTTGAACACAAAGGCCAAAATTCTGTGCCCCGATGGAACTTGTGTTCTATTAATGCCTACCTGGAATTTAAATTGCTTCACTGAGACGTAATTCACATAAATGCAATGAACCAATTTAAAATGTACAATTCAATGGTTTTGAGTATATCTGCAGTGGTATGCAACCATCACCACAATCTTAATTTTAGAACATTTTCACCCCGGCTTGAAAACACCCCATGTCAGGAATAAAAATCATATTGTACATTTCACATTTTTGATAGAGTCACAGACACATTCACTCCCTTTCCTCATTTTAAAGTCAGCCTTCAAGTGGTTCTGAAGCCCTATAACCATTGAGACCCAACTGTGTTCAACTGGTTACACGTATGGCATCAGATGCCACTTCCAATCTGAATTTCAAATCTCCATTCCCACTCAGGTGTGGTGCCTAAGTTTCTTAAATGTGTAATCAGTTGCCTACTGCAATCCATCTTGAGCTCAAACTCAAGTGTTATAAAACAATTTTTCACCTCCCATCTCTAGAACTACACCTTGGACTCACTATTGTTCCATGTCCTGGTGATTAGGACCAGCAAACTCTGCATCCAAAGGGGACATGAACTCCTCTTGCAACATGCTGCATGCTTTCCTTTTGCTTTATTTTTGTTGATGCTGTTCACTCTTTTCTAGAATTTCATCTCTATAGTCTTTACAATTCCATTGTTGCCTGTGATAATCCCATCTATTTCAGGCTAAAGGCAAACAGAAGTGTGAAATAGAGACTGAAACAGAGTATCAGTTAGGAAAGTGTTCATTAGTTCCAAGTTCCACACGTATTACCTTCCTATGGTATCAAAGAACACTATTTGCACTCCGTTAACCAGAAAGAATGCCGAGGACTCTAAAATGCCGGCTAGTCTGTATGAGAATGGGACTAGGGCTCTGCTGCCATGGGGGATAAAGAGAGCAAAATGGTCACGAATTTTGACTGCCCGGTATACTCACAGCATTGGGCTAGGAACTTACATCCACTATCTCATTTAATCCTCAAATATACATTCAGAGTTAGGGAGTACAGAGTTAGTGTTAAACACAGGCACAGAGAAGTCAAGTGACTTTGTAAAGGACAGAGGTTGTTTAAACAATAGAGCTGGGAATCAAATTCACATTTACCTGTCTGTCTCCAAACTCGTAAACTCAGTACGTTTGACAAGAGGAAATTCTCCCTACAGGGTTCTCATGGTCTTCACTCATTTATGCAACAGCTATTTTTTTCAATCCCGGGCTAAATATCTGTTCCCAACTCAAAGGCGAAAAAAAGAGGCCATGGCTTAGGCATCAGTTCACTTTGGTCTAGTGGGAAAGGTGGATGTGATCACATAAGTAAGCATGAAAGTAAAAATTATGATGGTCTAGGAAGGAAGAAATAGGCTGCTCTGATTGTGAGATAATAGTGGCGGTGGAGACTATGTTAGATTAGGTGTCAGGGAAGACCACTTGAGGAAGCCATATTTAAGTTGAGAAAGGAAGGATAAGTAGACATTTACTGAGCAAAGGATTATGAGTGGAGTAGAGGGGACAGTATGTGCAAATGCCCTGAGGCAGAAAAGAGCTTGGTGCATTTAAAAGAATTGAAAGACTTTGGGGCTGGCCAAGTGACTTGATTCAGTTGATGGGATGTGATAGTATGTGATATGAGTAAATGCCCTTGATGTTCTGGTGATCCACCATGAGAAGCACATGCCCCTTTCATCCTAGGCCCCTAATGACAAGACATGGAGCTGATCCAGCCTGCAGGCGGAACCAAACCCAGCCAACTCACATCTGAAACAGGACTGTGCAGCCAAGAACTGACAAACTCTAGCTCATGAACAATGTGCAGAAATATGAATGCACAACTAAATGCTTGTTATTATAGGTCACTGAGTTTGGGCATTATTGTGACAATAGCTAATACAGACTTTTAACATAAAAAATGACCCTCACTAACACACACACACACACACACACACACACACACAATCTGCCATTTGCTCTGCACTGCTTCATCATCAGGCTTGACTAAAGCAAGAACAGGATAACAATGACTAGGAGTCTATGCAGGGTGTGAAGCGTGATTATTAACTGTAACAACACTAGATGATGGGCAGTTGGGTCATAATTTTTGTCATTGAATTTAAACCAGGCTGCTACTATCGATTGCACTGCTCCAGGCTTTTTAATAAGCCCATTATACAACATATTTCAGATATTCTGAAAAATGATTTTACTTTAAAAAGGTAGCATAATAGCACAATGCAGTGGCAAAAAGAAGTGCATTGACAAGCCACATACATGTTCTTAATTTCTGATTTAGAGAAGCCTCAGTCTTTTCTAGCACATTTTTTCCCCTCACAGTCAATAAGATGCTGGCACTTAAAGGTATTATGTTTCTTCCTTCTATATAGCCAGGGGATTTTTATGTTACTATAATGCTTCCCACTTTTTAAGGTCTTTTGGCAAACAAATTTTTTAACAGTGAGATTTTACTGCATAGACTTTAGGGTGACATTGAAGAGCATCTAAGAGAAAATTACATTGATGTATTTTGCCATTTGTTAATGATTGAACTGGTCTAACATCTAGATGTGATTTTATTGAAATGTATCTGATGGCACTTAAGCATTATCTTAAGAATATAAATGCATTCAAAATGAATTGTTCATGAAACATGGAGTCCTTTCCACTGTGCAGGGAGTTCTTACTATAGGACAATTCTATTTCTTGTTCTTACACATATGGGTTTGTAGAGGAGGAAAAACTTTTATGTTCTGTTATTGGGACTTGCAAATTAAACAGATGAAAGTAAAATTAACAGAAGAAAATGCATAAAGTACAAATTTAATTTTAATTTTATGTACACAGAGGTTTCACAGCATAGAAGTGAAAACTCAAAGAAGCCATTAGACTCAGAAGCTTATATACCATTTTAACAAAGGGTGATAAATTGTGGAGAACTGACTAGACAAAGGAAACAGGGGTTGGGGCTTCTAAGGGCAGTAAATTGTGGGAATGTAAATATATGGGAAATTATGGAAGATAAGGGTAATTTCAATAAGTTTGTGCAGACTCATCTTGATGCTATCTTTCCATGTCTGATGGTGAGGGTTGTTTCCTCCTCCTGGAACAAGAGAGGGGAGGGGCCACCTTCACAAAGGGAAATTTTTGTCCTACTTCAGGCAGATAGGGGAAAGGCAAAAAGTCCTTCCTATGTTTGCTTTCTCTCCATTGCCTTCAAAATAATCCTCATGCCAAAGTGGCATGATTTGGGGTGGCATATTCTGATCCCCTTCAGGTTTGTAGAATTTTAGAGCCAGGAGAGGCTTTAGAAATCCTCTAATCTAGTATATCTTAAACCTTTGTCAGTCATTAATGACTTTGAGAATCTAGTGAAACCTATGAACCACCTCCCCAGAAAGAATTTCAAATAAAAATTTCGTATATACTTAGTGAAAGTTCAAACCCTCCTGAAACATATCTATGGATACCTTATGAGTACATGGACTCCATAAGAGCCCTGAGCTTGTCACATTATAAATGAGAATAATTTTTTCCTGTCCTTGTCTATCTAATTCTCCAGTGCCCTACAAGCTTAGTGGCAGCCAAAAATACAATGACAGGCTGGATGATTCAACGATTACTATTTAAGTCATCAACTTGCTTTTGAATAATTTCTTAATTTTTATTATGAAAATTTTAAACATTCATAATTTTTAAAAGACAAGTTTAATGAGATTCCTTTATCTGTCCCAAAGCTTCAATAATTGTCAACATTTGGCCACCTCGTTTCATTTATCCTTCCCCTGACATTTTTGATTGAAGTAATTTAAAACAAATCCAAAACGTTATGTTATTTCACCCCTTATTACTGCATTATGCATTACTAAGTCATAAGGATATGCCAGATCCCAATTAATAGTAATTCCAAGGCCACTTAAAAAAAATCATCTAATTCCAAATTCATATTCAAATTTCTCTTACTTGTTTTGTTCAAATGAGAATCCAAATAACATCCACAGATTTAATTTGCTTTTTATATCTAAGTATCTTTTATTCAATAGTCCTCTCCTGACATCCTTTTTTATTGATTTAAGAATGAGTTTTTTTTCTTGAAGAATCTCCCACATTTTGGAATTGGTTGATTGCTTCCTTGTGGTGTCATTTTATTTGTTCCTCTATTCCATGTATATCATAAAATCTAGGAGTTATAGATAGATGAGGCTTTTTTCTGCTCTATTTTGTTTAATAGAAAAGTGGAATCCAGCCATTTGTGACAACATGGATGGACATTGAGGGTATAATGCAAAGTGAAATAAGTCAGAGGGAGAAGGCCAAATACCGTATGATTTCCTTCATTAAGTAGTAGATAATACAACAATAAACAAACACATAGAGACAGAGATTGGATTGGTGGTTACCAGAGGGGAAGGGGGGAGGGAGGAGGGTGAAAGGGATAATTCGGTACATGTGTGTGGTGATGGGTTGTAATTAGTATTTTGGTGGTGAACATGATGTAGTCCATGCAGAAATAGAAGTACAATGATGTACACCTGAAATTTTTGCAATGTTATAAACCAATGTT